GATTTCCCGCTCTCTAGCTCTCCACTAGGGGCCGACCCAGCTCCCGTGAAAGCCATTGAAATGACTCTCGTGACGCCAGGGAGACTTGGCGCAGGCCCGAGGGCCTCGTACAACGAAGGGTCCCTGTAACAGGGGCTGCCGCCAGCGGAGCCCCCCCTCATGGCCAGGGTGCCTCTACTGTTCCCTTCGCCAGCCTCTTTCAGTCACGGCCCTGCACAGGGACTGGGGTTTTAGCACATTAACACAATTCTCAAACAAACACAGAAACGACCTTCCAGCCAGGCTCGCGCTGGCACAGCTCTCCTCCCTGGGGACCTGCCCCTTCTCAGGCAACCCTGCAGGAGCCCCCCTTCCCTGCAGCTTCATCCCCCCATGGCAGGAGCCCCAGCCCTGCCGCTCCCTGCTGCTGCCTTTTACCCTGGGATCACCCTATTCGACCCAGGGGAGGCTCATCCCCAGGCTCTGCAGCCCATGGGCCGTGCCCGAATGTCTACAGCCACCCATTGCCGCAGGATGCCTTGGGCCCAGCAGGCATCACAAAGGAGCCGACATTTATATGGAGGTGAGAGAATCCAGCTATATCACATAGGATGGGAAAAATTAGAAGTGTCCTAAACCTTCAAGCCTCAGGGCAACCACTAAACAATGGGGGCTTGAAAGAAACCCCCTTTATGGGAGGGATATGCCATAATTGTCCATTGCGCGGTTTTTGCACCTTCCCCTCAAACAGCCGGTCTTGGCCCCTGCCAGACAGAGGAACCTGAGCTAGATGGATCATGGGTCTGATCTGTCCAGGTAATTTCTGTGCACCCGCTGGACTCTGAACTGGACACTTCCCAAATACCTGGGAGTGACTTTCGGGGATAATTAATGTGCCTGGAAATGTGCAGGTGTGCAATGGAAACGTAGGAGCCCTCGGTAGCAGAAACTGTGAAATAAAGTGTCACACTCCATCAGTTCCTATCACATCCACGCACAGAACACTACCAGACACTTGGATCACACTCACATCTGCTCAGGCATGTGTTTGACACCCATACAAGAAAAATACAAAACGTTGCTTCCTTTATGAGGAATAAAATACTCAGCTCTGAGCCTGGGTACCAGCCGTTTCAGGAAACCCCCTCGATTTACAGGGCTTTACAGTCTGGTTGTAAAATTTTCCTCTGGGCTAGAAGCTGTAGCCCAAGAGGAGATTCTCTTTGCTGGATGTAGGGTACGCGTGCACATCCTGTTGGGTGCATGAGCAGCAAGCAGACCACATGGCGAGCAGCCCCTCGAATCTCAGACAGGAGTGTTCTGGTAAACGCTGCCCTGTAAATGTGTGCTCTGTTTTACAATAAAGAACTGAAGTTTTTCTGCCCCCTCCTGTTAATCCTGGAGCTTCAAAATCACTTCCACATCCTCTAGGGTAAATCCTCATTTCACAGGTGAAAATGGCTGCCGCAGAGTAACTGCATGTGGCCAACACGGCCTTGAAGATTTTTCACACGTGGCGTCAGTGCAGAGATGAATAATCTGCTCGGTCAGTGGTTCAGGCAGGATGCTGGCAGATTCAGTCCATCACTAGGTTATTGACTCCAATAGATGCCCAGTGGTTTCTCCAAGTTTAAATCAGAGAAAAACGAGTGCGGAAGCAGCTCTGAGAAGCTCCGAGGATATCCGAGCACTGATCTAAGAGGAGATATCTCCATATTAATGTTGGAGACCAACTCCCGAGAATGCCAGCAGGCGTCCAGTTCAGTATGGAGGATAACAAGACATCACTGTGCGCCCTGCACACCCAGGAGTTGGCAGCTCTGATGCATTCACACCATGCTCATAGCTTCCAAGTGGGGAGTGAGGGGGAAGGGCTGGAACCAGCAGGCTGGACTCTCCCAAGGCCTGATCAATCAGTGCCAGTTCTCTCTGGAAAGAGCAGTTGCACTATTGATTTGCTTACGCTCATATTGCAGCAACTACACAGGATTTAGGTTAAGGATGGTTAGAGTCGCTAAAGCCATTCCTAAACCAGAACAGCAGATTAAAACCGCTCTGCTCAGAACTTCTGGGAAGGGTGGAGCTGTATCTAGCATGTTCAGTTCACACTTCCATCTACGATGGGCTGCACTGCACCCCCGCCCCCCCCCCCCCGAGCTTTCAGGACCTTTGGTTTTGAATCCTGGTCTCACCTTGCTTGTCCTCACTTCTGCATCAGATGCCCCTCGCCCCCAAAGAAATGCCCCCTGGAATGCACCTGGTCACGGCAGAGATAGAAGGACAGTGTGGTTCTTAGGCTAGGAGTCATCCAGCCCAACCTTGCTGGCTTCCCAAGCTCTATGTTGCTGCCAATGGCCACGCTCGGCTCTGGCAGGTGTTTCACGGACCCTGCATGTGCTCAGCCGAGTATTCGCTCCAGTACTGAGGCACAAGGCTGTGAGGGAAGGGAGACGAGGCTTTACTTCTGTCAGCCCAGGTTAGCCCCGTAATATTAACATAACTGTAACGCAGTTGAAAAGGAATCCACTAGTTACAGGAAATGATTTACAGGACACAAGACTGCCTTTCAGAGGCCTCAAGTGTACCATAAAAAATATATTATAAAGGAGTAATCTTTATCTGAACTGAGGCTGCACTGAGAGAACACATGTCCAGCTGAGAGCAGCATTGAGCTTTGGTTCACTCTGGGAAAAGTCAATGCTCTTCATCTTATTTGATTAATTTTTTTCTTGGCACTGGGCATCTAGTTAATATTTGTGCTCAACAATGGGGGGTTTTTTCCTCCAAAGGTTGCTCTTGTCCTGGGCTCAGACAAAGGCAGAGATGCCAATAGTATCTCCCCAGACAAACTGCCCTGCTGGGATTGTGTGTTAACAGCAAGATGTGGAGAAGTCAGACTCCACTCCCCGCTGTCCCGCCCCACGCTGTGAAAGATTGGCCTATCTCTGGGCAGAAGGTGCCAGGGGAACTAAGCCCCCCCGCCCCCCAGCCAGGCTGATGCTGAAGCCCATTTGCAGGAGCCTGCATGATAGACTGTGGAGCAGCTCCAGACCTGCGGGAGTCTGAGCAGGAAGTCTCCCCCTTGGTGAAGCTGAGGTTCCCGGGGTTCATAGTATTCAATGCTGAAAACATGGGCATTGTGGTTGTGCCCAGAAACGTGTGTACACACGAGCCAGGCGTAGCATGCAGCTGTACCTAAGCGTGCAGGGGGGTTTCTGTCCCAACTCAGGTGTGTGCACTTCGGCACACGCATCTTCAAAAGCTGGGCCCTAATGTTCACTTTCAGATCCCCACTGAGTCAAGTCAGCAATGTAGGGAGGAAGGAGAGTCCAGCGATTAGGGCACTAGGGGTCAGTTCCCTGCTCCATCAGATATCACTAGTCTCTCTGGCTCCGTATACACAGCAACTAGACACCCACGGCTGGGGCTCGCGGGGCTTGGGCTGGGGGGCTGTTTCACTGCTGTGCAGACTTCTGGGCTCAGGCTGGAGCTCGGGCACCAGGACCCTGCGGGATGGGAGGACCCATCTGTACACCCAGGGAATAGCCCTGCCCTGCCTCCCGGGGGGTTGTAGGGATAAATACACCACAGACTGCGAGGCGCTCTGCTCCTACAGGATAAGTACCTACAAGATACCAACAGACTCCAGGGCAAGGTGGCGAATGCAACAAACTCACGTCCACACACCCCAGGAGCGGCTCAGCTAAGCACACCTCTGAGGCCCTCCCTTCGCCCCGAACGTCAGCTCAGGGAGGTTACTGGATGGGGCTCTCGGAGGAGACCAGGTACCTCTTGTTGACATCCCGAAGGACAGGAGGATCAGGGTAATTTTATGCCTTTGATGGAGTCGCCCCTCTACGGAGATCACTAAGCCACCCTTGCGGGGACCAGGTCCAGGGCCCCATATCGGTATTTCTGAAGGATAAACACGGACGGCCACTGCATCCCCTTGCGTCCCATGGGAAGACGGTGCCTCCTTAGTCATGATGAGGAGAGCTCCTGGGTTGGGGGGGGCTCTACCCCAGGGGGGAACAGACTCTCCTGCCCATGGGGGGGGGTGTCATCTAGTCTAGCCCCATCTTCGGGCTTTTCCCCGCAGAGGGAATCCCCACCTGTAGGGGCAGGGCCCAGCCTCCTCTCATGAAAGAGGAGGTGCCTTTCCCCTATGGCTGGGGGTCACAGTGGCCCCTGATTGGAGCCCCCAAAGACAGAAGATGGGGGCTGACAGCCAGTCACCCCAGAAGCCTGCAAAGGAGCGGGGGAAAGGCCCTGTCCTCCAAAGACTGGCAGGGATCAGTGCTGGGGAAGCTGTGCAGGAGTGGGGAGAAGCAGAGGGTGGGGCGGGTGATTGGGGGCAGGAGCAGGGAGGAGCCGTGGCTGGGGGACAGGGTGATTGGGGGCAGGAGCAGGGAGGAGCCATGGCTGGGGGACAGGGTGGCTGGGGGCAGGAGCAGGGAGGAGCAGAGGCTGGGGGGCAGGGTGGCGTGGGGGCAGGGAGGAGCTGTGGCTGGGGGGCAGGATCGGGGGGCAGGGAGAAGCGGGGGGAAGAGTGACTGAGGGCAGGAGCAGAGGCTGGGGGGCAGGGGCAGGGAGGAGCAGAGGCTGGGGGTCAGGGAGGAGCAGAGGCTGGGGGGCAGGGTGGCGGGGGGCACAGCCGGCAGACTGGCGCGGCAGGAGGGAGGGGCTGGGTGGCACACGAGTTGTAAGGCAGCAAGTGGGGACCGGGGACAGCCCGTGCTGCGGGGCGGGAGGGGGCAGCGGGGATTCCGGGGGCGAGGTTGCCCGGGCGGCGCGCCGTCGTCCGATCTCCGTTGCCAGCGCCGGGCCGCGCTGGCCCTCGAGCCCCGAGGCCGGCCCGGGGC